CACACACACACACACCTTTGAAGGAGACAAATAGCCAAATCCTAGATTTAAAGAGAAATGGTGCCTTCATGCCCTACTTTCTAGGTGCCTCTACCCTGCATTTCTCTTGAAGAAGAAGAAAAAAAGAGCATCCCCTGACATTAAGAAGCTAGCCTAACTAGGCCATGCTGTTAGGCTATTAGACATAAATAATCTCATAGGGTACCAACCTCAGATAAGGTTACTCTGTGACCAAGGTGAAATGAAACAAAGCAAAGCCACTTCATAATTCTGTCTAAGCACAGTCAAAAACGAGGTCATTATGCCACCAGTTTACCAAACACACCTTTTCTTGTCTAAAATGAGAGGCTGCTACGTCTTTACCTATTGTAGCTCTATTCTCCTGCTAGTCCCTCCCTCTGGATAAGGGGTATTGAGATGCTTCCTTAGACCCTCTTCAAATGACCCAACTCAAACCCAAATGCTGTGATAGGTTCTTTGTAACGCCCTTTTCCTGAGACACCTCATGGTTCCCCATGGTGTGTTCTCACTCAGTGCAGTGAGTCATAATCTCAATTTATTTATCTGCAGATGTGTTCTTGGGGGTCTTTGGATGAAGGGCATTATGCTCTCCAAATAACTGACCATCCTTATTCCTCTTCGTATATTTGTTGTTACAATGAAGTGATTAAGATCATGAGCTTTGGAGTGAAATATCTGGCTCCAAGTCCCAGTTCTGCATGACTTTGGCAAGTACTTAGCCTCTCAGAAACTGCTTCGGAAAAATATGTCTGTCGTCACATAGGACTGGGAGAATTCAGTAAGACATGCAGAGAGTGCATTAGAATGACTAGCAACCTGTAAAATACCAATAGGAAGTCATACCATAAATCTGGTCTAAAGAACTCTGCTTGGCCCATAATCCTGGGGAGCAAGCCAACTAACATCATCTTGCTTCGATTTATTGCAATAAACTTAATGACCAAATATACTGGTCCAAATTAACTGGCTCTCAAACAATAGCTATGAGTAATAGCTTTTTAGCAAAATTCCTACTCAATAGTAGAAGAATGTCCTAGGGTCACCAAAATAAGGCATTTAATGGATACATCTCAAGTTCTGTGTATTATTTCTAGAATTCTAGCTACAAATTATGCCTGCCCATGCTGCCCTCACAGAGAAATCTCATAATCTCCTGAGAATGTGATATTCTTGGGAGGGAGGGCGGGGTGGACAAAACAAGATGTTAAGAATCAAAAGAGGGCCGGCTGAGTGGCTCAGTTGATTAAGAGCTCACTCAAGAGTTTGAGCTCTGAGCAACGGCGGTTCGAGTCCAGCCTGAGCTGAGCTGCCAACAGGTAGCAGGATGGCTCAGCTAAAAGAAAAAAAAAAAAAAAAGAATCAAAAGAGACCTGAGTTCAAATCTTATCTCTTCCTATTACCAACCTTGGGAAGTTACTTAACTTGAATCTATTTTCCCTTTGCAGTATGTGTATACTTACAGGTCTATTGGAAAGGTAAAATAAAAACACAGAGAAATTGACTAATAGGAAGCAAGCATTCAAATATTGTTATGCCCCACCCTTTACCAACCTCTCCCCCAAGACCCAAAATTACACACACACACACACCCCACACATATACACAAGTCTCAATTTTATTTTGTTTTCAACTTCAGCCATTGTCAATGGAATAATGGATCCTTTGCCTGTACAGGCGTGCTTCCTGTGAATGGGGCCTCTCAGCCGAATTTTTATGAATACTTTCGAGACCTATCAGGCCCTCTCAGCAGATATAATATGGTCTTCAATGTACTTAAAACCAAACAAAGTGACAATAGCTTAAATATATAAGGTACTAAGGAATAGACTTTTTAAAAAAATTTGGAATGTGACTAGCACAAATTATGAAATGTACATGAATACACTCTATCTTGTGGAACTTTAATGGCTTTTGACAGGGACTGTATATGTATAGGACTTGGGGAAAGTGTAAGCTTTGAGTCTGGCAGAAAATGTCTCATCCCTCCCCAGAGCATTCTGGGGTCCCCAGGAAACCTGTCTGATAGGAGTTTGAGTCAAAGTGAGGGTGCTAATGGCAGAAAAAGCAGGGAGAAAGTCTGGAAAAAAGTTCAAAGAGACCAAATGAGAGTGGAACATGCTCTTTAGGGCCCAGAAGATACCAAACTTCTCTAGGAGCAGAGACGGGGATATAGATTTCAGGAACATGACCTCAAAGAATGAGAGAAGCCCAGATAAAGGCATCATCGTATAATGGTCTTAAAGTCAGAAGACCTGAGTCTGCACCCTTAGTCTGCCACTTACTTAGCTGTGGGGCTTCTGGCAAGTGCCCCACCTATTTGGAAATTCCACTTCTTCATCTCGCCTACTTATCTCAAGAGTCAACAGACTCAATCAAGTGTGTGTAAAAACATCGCAAACTGTAAAGGGCTATAAATATGAGTGGTAGTATGAGGAAAAAAATCAATAAAAACNCAACAGTGGTTCGAGTCAGCCCGAGCTGAGCAGCCGTGAGCTGCCAACAGGTGGCGGGATGGCTCAGCTAAAAAAAAAAAAAAAAAAAAAAGTAATAAGTGTCTGGATATAAGATATATTTTTGAAGTAGACACAAAAGAATTTGCTTAAGTAATTGATATCAAATAAGAGAAAAAAATAGTTAAGGAATTCCAAGATTTTTCATTTGAGCATCTAGGTGAATGAGGTGCCTGTAATGTAGATGAAGAAAAGTATATGGCAGAGAAATCAATAGCAAAGGCAGGACATGTCAGTGGATTACCAAGGGACTGGGACATGGTCAGAAAGGTCAGAACCTCAGGTGGCCACCTGTAGCCACTGGGCAGGGCCTAAACTTTCAAGTCAGCCTTTCAAGGATGTCTTCCTGTGGACCTCCATGGTTCATGGAACCAGCCTGGATTTTTGCATTTGCTAGGCATTCCCTGTGATTCCCAGGTCTTTAGTGGCAATGACTCAGAGAGCAGGTCTAGCCTTACACGTGCGTATCATTCCAGCACTTTGCATAGTGACTAGAACAGAGTGTGCTGCGTATAAAAACATACTAGATTATGGCATGCCTGAATAAACAATTTGATGAATGAGAAATGAATCTCTCTTTTGAATGCACACCATGGTTCTTCAAGGTCTCACTAGAACCTATAAAGATATGTTGAAATATGAAGTCGAATGAAAATTTTAAAAGCATGGAATAGGGGTCCCTTTAATGATTTTTAAAAACCCTGTGGTTTTCATAGACCAGAAGCATTTTTATTTCAAGACAAACAAATCAAAAAGTAACTCTGCCCCAAGCAAATCACCAATAAAATCTTTTGGAATAGGACCAGCCGAGTGGCACGAAGGTTAAGAACTGGCTTGGGACGCCAGAGGGCCCCGGTTTGGATCCCACATGTGAGGGCCAGTGATGCTGCCCTCTAAAAAAAAAAAAAAATCTTTTGGAATAGAAAAACTTCAAATTTTATTAAGAATATTTTACATTGCCCACAAGTTAAATATGAAAAAAAAATATTGAGGCTAAAATAGAAGCACCTTTAAACATAAAAAAAGCTTTAATCAGTGGTAATTACAAAACAATAAAATAGCAGTAGCTTTGTGAGTTTGAATGATAAAGACACAAATAAATGCGATATAGCAGTTATTCTATTCCTGGGAAAAGCACTGTTAATAATTGGCTGTCCCTGGGGGTGTGGAAGTAGCCTGGCTATGTTAAACTGGACTTTGGAGCGGCATTGATTCACACAGCAGTCTGCGTTCCCACCCATCTCTGACATCTTGCTTTCTGGTTCCTCTCACACCTATGTGGAATGGTCCACCCCTCCAGGGCTGCTATGAACTGATCTCTGGACCAATGAACCGGCATGCCTGGGGAGTTGCCTGGTTTGGATTTGCCATTCTCTGCTGGACTGTGAGTATTTCCTGGCACGTGTCTTATTTCTGAGAGGACAATGATAAGGAGAGAACTTCGATTAGCCCCTGTTAGCTCAACAACACTAGGCTGCCTGGAAACAAAACATCAAACCTGCAGGCTAGTCAGGAAGCTGCTGGCACCTGAGCAAGGACAGAGGATGGATTCCTTTGGGAGGTGGGATGTTACCTTCCTCTACCAGGAAAGGAATGTGCTCTGCTAGCCAGATCCTCCTCCTTCTAGGTTACTGGGATGCACTTGCCTGGTCCTCCAGGTCTCGGTCTCCAAATCCCATTAATAAATTATAGTGAGATATCTAAGACTGCCATCTATCTAAATGACTCCTGCTGGACTCTGCTCTGTCCAGCTCCTTCTAAAGAGCTGCTTCCCAGGCTCACATGTCCTACTGCCCACGTTATTGGATGCACAGCAATAAGAAGGTGGAGCAGTGGTTCTCAGTCCTGGCTGTGAATTAAAACCTCCTGGGAGAGCTTGAAAAAAGAAAGCATGCCTGGACCCCAACCTCTGAGATTCTGATTCAGTTGATCTAAGGGCAGGCCTTTTTTTTTTTTAATTTTCCAAATGATTCTAATTTGCTGTCAGGCTTGAGAGCCATCGCATTAGGGAAGTAGTCCCAAATGTTTGGCTTCAGGACCCCTTTCCCCTCTCAAAATTAACTCAAAAAAGCTTTTGTCTATAGGGGCTTTAGCTATGTAAATTGACACAGAACGTTTTTAAATATTCATTAACTCATTTAAAAATAACAATAACAAACCAATGACATGTTAGCATTAACAATATATTTTTGTGGGAAAATAGTGACTATTTTCCAAGAAAAAGAAATAGTGAGAAAAATGACATTGTTTTGCATTTTTGAAAGCTTCCTCAATGGGTGGCTTAATAGAAGACAGCTGGATTCTTATATTTGTTTTAATTTGTTGTAATATGTTGCTTAGGTTGAAGAATTTGAAGAAAATCCATCTCCACACAGATAGGTAGTTGAAAAAAATAGGAATGTTTTAATAGCCTTATCTAAAGATAAGTGTTAATATTCTTCTTTGATACCACACAAAACTTGACAAGTCGTATTCTTAAGAGGGCTAGTTGCAATATGGAATGTGAAACTATTTGTCAATATTTGAATAGTCAATGAACTATTCAAACTCTGTTACATTACAATACATTACATTGGTTTGTCTTGCACTTGGCGTAAATCTTCTACTGATGCGTGATTCTATAGCATCATGCATTCGTTATTTGGGAAAATATTGGTTCACTGTGTTGTGCAGATCTTCTAAATGTTAGCCAATTTCTTTATGCAATACCAAGAAATTACAATCATTGATATTGCCAAATTGGAAAAGACCTTAAGCATTGGAATGCTATCAAGCTTGTGGTGACAAATACAAGTTTTATGATTTTTGCTTGAAAGCTCAGATTTATCATTGGCAACAAATACTGTCAGTTGTTTTCCTTGAAGTGACAGACTTACTTTGTACATTTTCCAGAAAATGTCTGACAAACACCCAATTCTGAATAACCAGAGCTTGTCTGTTAGTCATTTTTTCCAAGTAAAAATGGTGTTTCATGGAAAAAAATGGCTAGTTCTGTGTACAACTCAATCACCCAAATGCTTTTCCTCAAGATAACCACCATACGTATTTCAGTATACCACAAAACTGCTTTATGCATACTTCCTTTCTGTCATACAGAATATTAAAAAGATATGTACTGGGGCAGCCAGTTAGCTCAGTTGATTAGAGCACAGTGCTCATAACACCAAAGGTTGCCGGTTCAATCCCCACATGGGCCACTGAGTTGTGCCCTCCACAACTAGGTTGGAACAACTACTTGACTTGGAGCTGATGGGTCCTGGAAAAACACACCGTTCCCCAATAAAGATTAACTATTCAAAAAAAGAGAAAGAAAAGATATGTACTCAAAGGTGAACATTGAAGTAAATTAGTGATTCTGACTGCCTCCTCAAGGACAATCCCAAGTAAAACTGGCTTTTTTTTTTTTACTTCAATTCCATAGCAGTGAAGATTTTGACTACTAATACAGTTTACTAATTAGTTTACTAATACAGTTTCTGCCTTGAAATACTAAGGCAGAAATTAGTAGGTAAATACTAAGGTAGAAATTAGAAGGTAAAGCAGTTTTACCTTCCACTGACTTTGCACCAACAGTGCAAATGTGAAAAGGGCAAATAAAGTCTTAATATTATTATGCAAATACTCTTGACATCAATAACCCCTAAAGGTGTCTGTGTACCACACTTTAGGAAATGTTGGGTTTGAGGTGAGAAACTGAGTGAGGCCGGAAGGAAGGGAAAATCAACCTCTTCAAGAGGTCTCCTATGATCCCTTAAGCCACCCTGTTAGGAAGTCCCACCACACCCTGCACATACCTCTATCTGGGAACCACTCCTCTGTGATGTATTACCTCTGCCCAAAGCCAGGCAACCAGCTGCCCTTTGTATCCCTGGAGTCTAGCAGAGCACATAGTAAGTGCTTGAAAACTTGTTGAATAAATGAAAAGTGATAACTGTGAAGTTTCTGTTGTGTTATGCTAGCAGGAACTATTGGATAATGTTTAAAGGCTTTTGAGGATTTTAGAATTCCAGACCATTTGAACATTTGACATTTCTACAAGCATCAAATGGACTAGACTCTGGATCTTGTAAGTCCCCTTGAAATTCAAAATAGGGAAGGGAACTGGATATATTGGAGGCCTGCTATGGGCAAGGCATCATGTCAAATACTTTTAAGATTAAATCCCATGACAGTCTCTAGCCTCCCATGTTACAAGGCATAGAGAAATTCAACAACATTCTTAAGAATTGTACTTAAGGAGGATTTTGGGGCATTGGGGCATGTCCAGTTCATTACTGCTTACAGAGGGCTATCCCACAATGGTTAATCAAATAAACTCTGAAGACAACTGCCTAGGTTTGAATCCCACCTTCACCGCCTACTAGTTCTATGACCTTGGTAAATTACCTATCTTTTCTGTGCCTCAGTTTGTCCATAGGGATTTGAAAGCATTAAACTGAGTTATATGTGCAGCAGTTAGAATAGTGCCTAATGTATAGTATGTTATCAATAAACACTAGGCACTAACTATTATTTTTATTCTTTCATTATCCAGTTCAATCTTCTAACTCTGGGGTAGGTGAAGAAGATGTTATTAATATTATCATTACTTTACAGGTATAGGGAGTGAGTGACAGGTCTGCAACAGAACCTTGATAATTCTAACCCTTTGCCTGAGGCGAATATCTTAAGTTCTTTGGGGACAGCTGTTCCAGGTCACAAGCATTTTTGGAAAAAGAGAAAGTGCCCTGGGAAAAGAGGCTCATATTATACTAGAAGCAAGAAACTCACGTTCTAAAATGGTACATACTAGAAGTAGAAATCCATTGGAGGGTAATAAGCCCTGATTGGAAAAAGAAGGAATTTCCCCAGGAAGCTAGTTTAACTGATGTTGCTTAAAGGCAAGATTGCCTTAAAAATCCAGTGTCCCTGAAGCCTGAATGAACCTAACATGATTTTTTCCCTAAGTATGAGTTGTTTCTAAAACAATTCCTTATTAATTTTTCTTTGTTTTATTTTCCTCTTTGTATTCCAGTTTTGGGTTCTCCTGGGTACCATGTTCTACTGGAGCAGAATTGAATATTAAGAATACAGTGTCACCCTAATACCACCTTCCCCAGGGACTCTGGATTTGGTGCTGGACCCTCTCTCTCCTAATGCTCCATGTGTGTGCCCCACAGGTACACCTACCTGCATTCTCAATCAAGTTGCCAAGTCAGCTGGTATAGAGTTCCTTAGGATCTCAGGCTCATGAAGTTCTCTCCACTGCTGTTTTCACCCTGGTCTAGGATTCTGCAACATTTTGATAGGCTGTAGGAGAGGAAGAATTTGGAAATTAGATAACTACTCTCATCCCTGTTTGTTTTTAATCTGGGAGCATAAAGACATTCACAGGACCTGTGTTATGGCAGACAGCCATGTCTGCATTGGGACAGCAAATCTGCCTGTATTTCTCACAACTTTCTAAAAGACCTTCAAAGGCTTTCATTCATCTCAGTATTGGCCAGGTAAGAGAACTAAGGAGAAGGTGCTGAAATACATCTTTTGCCTTTTGTTCTATGGTGAATTCCATCTACAGAGACTCAGGTGATTCTTTTAATGTCGCCT